TCTGCCCATTGGTCTATGCCGTGCTCTCTCTATCTTCGGTAGTAGGTGTCTCGTCAGAATGTGGTTTTCCTGTAATTTGCGTCATACAATGACTTCCATCAACCGTACTAATATCTTCTTGTGAAGATTACGTTGTCCTCGGCAGTTTTGAAGCTGTAACTCTGGCGCTTTCGCAGGCTATTATGAGATGTAGAATACAAACTACTAAGCCCCCTTATCTTCTTTAGCACTTCTGACAAATGCAAGTTTTGTTCGTGAAGATTGGCGGCGAATTCTAATGACATTATAATTCCACATCAATTTTAAATTTACCCTGACCGAATATAAGATTAAAGCCTAAACTTTTACAGAGAATTTGAGAGCAAATAACATATTCAATTTGAAGCATTCTACATGTTCCAGTGGTTTACCATGAAGGCTTATATTTCACTCGTGTGACCAACTTTACACGCCATCTATTGATTTTGGCCAATCACAAGTCTTGAAATACAACAGCAGCCAATCAAATTCTTCCTCAAAATCTTGTGGAACTCTACGTAGACCTCGGAACACGATTAGCAACGGCAAATCACAGACGTTCTCTCCCCGATTTTTTGAGGGGTGAGAAACGGATGTACACAGGCTAGCTTTTTTGTGACTCCTTTTAAAGTTTTAAGATTAGCTTTTTTACATGCTTTATACATATGGGAGGGGGGGGGCTATTTTTCCTCAATGTCAAAAGGAGGGGGGGATCGAAAAAAATAGTGTGATCAAGTTAGGGGGGGCTGCAAATTTCCCCAAGGTTTTTTTTTACTTTTTCCTCCAGACCACCCTGAGGCATATATTTAATGAACAGTCCCTTAATGAATAAAAGGTAGCCAAGCCTTTGCATGAAAGCGAGACAGGAGTTGAGTCTGCAATGATAGATACCTTTTGTTCACACCTAAGACAATTATTCACATGGTATCTATCACTGCAAGCTCAACTACTGCTTCGCTTTGATGCAAAGGCTCGGCTACCTTTCAAGATGGCGCCTGGAACTGTAAAATGGAGTATTTATATATATATCATATATTGTTGAACTTTCCTTTCTAAATTCTGAATGTCACTTGTAATTTTTGAAGCCCAAAATTTTCACAATCATGAAAGACTTTTTTGGCGACAATACTATATGATAATGTGTGCATGCTTTTGTCCCCTGGATATCACATAAATTCTTCAAAATTCAGGTAGTATCGTCGTGTACCGTGTAACCAAGTACGTCATATGTTTCCGAACACACGAGTGGGACGAGTGGGAAATATTTTGAGGTTTTTGGTTATCCTCACTTAGAAAAAAACATTGATCCCGCAGATAAGATTCGAACCTGCGAACCCTAAATATGACCTATCCGATCATTAACCCTAAACCTAAACGGTTACGCCACAAGTGAATTCGCTTGGTTGCACTCCTTTTTTACTAGTATTTAGACAATTTCTTATTAACATTTCACTAAATAATTAATATATAAGAACGAAGTGAACACGAATTATGGTCGGGATAATTTGCATACGGTAAATTTACATTACAATAAACTCCCCTGAGGTTTCCCGTACACGACGATAATACCAAAATTCAAGATGACAGCCTTATGAATAAAAAGGTCTGTTTGTGCAAGTGGTATATAGGTCACTAAATTTGTGTCTTTTGCCCTTTATTAGTTGGTGTTGGTGATGTTAGCAGCTCAGCATCTGTAGTCAATGAACTCATTTCAAAGGTAATATTTTTAATAGACTTCTGAACCTTTTACGTCACTACTTGATTTGCAATGCATTGTGGGATCAGTTTCTAGAGAAAACAAAAGAAATCCGCCATTTTCTGTCCCAAACATGTCCTGTATAATGCATTGCATATACGGTACATGACGTAAAAGCTGCAGAGGTCTATTAGTACCAAATAGGTGGATCTTTATTTACAAAAGTTTGCTAATTAGCATAAAGTTTAAATTAATGAAAACTGTAAAATAAGTTTATAATGTAAAAGGGCTTATTAAGAACTATAAACTACGAGAGTTTGAGGTCATTACATGGAATAGTTTATAAGATATTAGCGTTCAAAGATGCAAAGTGGCAAAAGTGCTAATTAGCTCATATAATCTCTCTAAAAATTGGAGTTTTTTACGCAAAAAGTATTTCATATGAGAAGCTCAAAATTGCGTGAAAGCTTATTGTGCCATGTTGTTTCAATATTCAGTGCTGATCTACTGATAGCTAGGTTAAAACGTTATATCCTTATGCTAATGATATGTTAATGAACCGAAATGTAAAACAAATTATTCGCCTATAAATTCATTAAAAAAATCGTTTGAAAAATTGGTATTGTCAAAACAATTGTCATGAATTAATTAAACAATACACAAAACACTTTATTTTGCAGTTTTTGACATATTTACATATTATTTTACATATTCAGTTAACTTTAATCCCACCCATGTTTACTACATATCAGGGGCGGATCCAGGATTTTTTTAGGGGGGTGACTTTTGATTTTTTAAGAGTTAACATATTTAATTTTCCCGCCAAAAGAACCAAATCTCCGCGAATGCATGTGTGTTCTTAGATGCCCGAGACGCTAAAAAGTGTTAGTCCTTTTGAAAAGTGTTGTTTATCGAAATATCAATCAATTATTTCCCTATTTCCTTGATGTGAATATTTTTATATTCAATTTATCCAGGAAAAAGGGGGGTGAACGTTCACCCAGTTCACCCCCCACCCTGTATCCGCGCCCCTGCATATTAGTTGTTACTTGTAGTATTCATAATGTTATCTTTTAGAGTACTGAAAAAGGATTAATATAATTCAAAAACAAATTTTCCTCGGCTTTCAGTAGTCAAGAATAGATCATGTGATGCGAGTGCTAGCTGTGTAGGGAATACTAGCGAATACTACATTAATGCATAGATACTGCCATTTCAGAAAATAATGAAAATACTATAAAGCAGTTGAAATCTTGTTCCTTATGGTGTGATAGCTGCCCAACTGGATGTCCCTCAAAACTTCATTTGGTTGTATATATTGATTTTTGGAACATCTGTTTTCCGTGGGCAACTATCACAGCTAATGCCCTCAATACTCTTACTATTGTTTGTCTAAAGGCTGATTTACACGGTACGATTTGTCGCGCGCGACTTGTAGTATACGATTTTCCTACTACAAGTCGTAGGATTTTAAGCAGTGGGTCGTAGGCTACTTACGACTGTTGTAGACAAGTCCTAGGGGCATTTACACTGCGCGATTCAAGTCGTATACTACACTAAATCGCACGAGACAATCGTGCCGTGTAAATCAGCCTTAAGAATACATAATGCATTGTATCAAATGAATACATCATCGTCATAACACCTTTCTTGTTGCTAGGGTGTGGATGTCTCAATGAGGTGTCAATGGACTGACATGTTACCTCTCCACTATGCTGCTTTCTTTGATATCGCTCCTGTCATTNTCTATTAAAAACAATTGCGGGAACATATTTCTTTTGAAATTATCCCACATCACAGAAATTTTGATTCAAAAGATGGAAGAACAAAAGGATAGAGTAAATGAGGTCATCTACTCCAACATTTTTTGACCAAATTATTAAGGATTTGTATCAACATCTTGAAATCTGTTGCTTCATGATTATTAGACCAATATAAATAGATCTATTTGATTTCCAATTCTTTTCTAATGTTTCGCAATTTTCGTCAAAGTAGCCCTTTAAAAACTGTTATATTGTACTCATCTCTTTGCGTAATTTAGTAATTGGTGTTCCTTAGGAACAGTGGCGTTTCAAATRAGTGTCTACAGTTATRAGCTCAGTTATCTATTTTCTCTTTSACCCTCTTTAGTTGGCAAAAACGACGGAGCAGTCAATGAAAAAAGATATTTTACATGGTGAGTAGTCATTTGACTGATATTCACTGGAAAAAATCGCACAAATTAAAGGTTGTAAATTTGATGTAAACAGCATGTCAAAATCATGTAAATATTATTTACAACGTTTACATCAAGTTTACATGATTTGGACACTTACGTAATCTTTACAGAAACTTTTAAAGTGCACAATTTATTGTTAGGTATTGGGAATGATTGTATGATAAAGAAATGACCAAGGCATGTGAATAAACAAATAAATAGGTTTAACAAGATATTATACATGGTGAGCAGTGATTTTTAACTTAGAGACAAAAAGAAAGACGTTGAAGCTATTGGGAATGAATGTATGAAGAAGAAATGATCAGACATGTTAACGAACAAAATAAATAGGTAGTGAGAAGTGTCTTAACTGAAAGACAGACAGGCCGATTGTGAATGAATGAAAGGGATGAATAATGAAATGAAAAGGAAGTGATCAAGGCACCCGAGCAAACAAAATGAATTCAGAATCAGTTGATTCATTAACAGATGAAGAACTGATCAATAATTACGAACTCTCCATTTGCAGTAAACCTAACTATGGCCTAATGGTAAGACCCAACCGGGCTTCCTGTCGTGGGATCAACTGTGCCAAGCTTGTAGAAGACATGTCGTAATGTCGCCATCTTGAGCTTGATAATGCTGGCCGTGGTCACTAAGAAATTAGGGCGAAAATATAAARTCCCCTAGCTTAGCCTGGGTRCTGATCAGAGATCTTCGAATAGAGAGGAGTCTCGTTGKTTTTAGGGTCCTTTTGGTCACGACAGACAGTACCTTAGCTTAACCATAATATACGTTTTCATTTGCGTTTASGCTAAAATTCTCTATAAAATCGTTTGCGTTATTTATATGGACTTTTATTGTTGTAAAAAGTAAAGGAAGGGACAAGATGAAATCCTTCAACACCATATGAGTCAGATTTCGTCCACCCTCCAGGCCAATAGGCAATGTGCAGCTAGCGACGCCATTTTATGCAGCAAAGCATGATGGGAGTTGTAGTTCTCACACTTATTATAGAACCTAGAATATCGTCTTGAAGTCTTTTTTRCGCTTTCTTTATAGAAACAGCAAAACAACTTCTATTTTGGATTTTAAAACAGAAGAAGCATTTCAGAAGTACGAAAACTGCAACTACCATCAAGACCATCACGCTTTGCTGCAAAACATGGCGGCGCTGCGCATTGCAAATGGTAGCAAACACGTGATTATAAGATGTGTGAGCTTATTCTAGCAGCTGTCACGTGACTGTTTTGACTTCTGTCGTTAGAAATGACTACCGCAAATGCAACATATTTTAATTATGTACTCAAAAAAATATTTATTAGGAAAAAAATCGATGTAAAGTATTTGAAGTCATCATTTGAATGATTCAAACAACTATTAAATTAATATAACCATTTCACTTTGTGAGTCTTATTTGCATAAAAAAGAGCCGTATGCCATCCTCTGGAACCCAAGGTTTCCGAGGATGTTAGGTAAGGAGTGCGGAATATCCATGTCACTAGATTCTTTTGATGTCACGTGATGTCAGCCATGGGAAAACCTTGATTTGGGTGGCCCAACATGGTTGGATCATTGAGGCGAATAAGCAATTTGTTCCGGGGCGGATTTCTAGAGGAAGTGGCCGAAGGGGCAACTTCCCGCCATTTTTGACTATTATAGAAAAAAGACCACAAAAAAGCATCGATAAACAAAATAACACTCAAAGACATTCGATTGTCGTCGTTTCTTCAACTTTTGCATTATCGATTGTAGGATTAGTAACTTGAAGAAGTAAGCAAATTCCCCAAAAATGTCTCGACATTTTTTGTAAATAGACCACTAGGGTGTTTGTCAGTCCCCTTTTTTGTTTTCCTTGTTTTGTTGTACAAATTAGCGTCGCTGCACAAAGCCTATTTGTTGAGTAGACTTGACTCAAATATCTAACTCAACGATATCGAAATTCCCGACAAACGATCGCTGTTGTGATGGTGTGAAATTAGGCGGGAGAAGACTTTAACCCAAGACGAAAGCACGGAATGGAAATAAGGAAAATATAGAAAATAATTGAACCGAATATATCATTCGATAAACATTGATAAAGCCAAAGCGCAAAACTCAGGATTTGGTGGTGCCAGAAACCTCATCAGGGGAAATCTATGGGGGCCCATCCTGGTCAAATTAGCTTTATTTATTTTTTCCTGTTATCAAATTATTTTTTTAGTCCCTTGTAATTAATATTGCA